TTCCCGGTCAACGCATATGCGCTTTCGTGTCTTCATCATCCCCAATTTGAATGAAAATATTGCATGGTTTTACGGCGGCGACAATAGAAAATTAATTTTTGCCCTTGTTAATAAAACCGATTCTATTTTATTCCATTGTTTTGATATTTCCAAAAAAATCAGGAACAACATATTTCGGGTGAATTTACGGGACAAGAAACACTAGCAAAAAACGTTTGAATTATTTTCACTGCCATAAATCTTCGACTAATGATCCTAAAAAGGGCCTCGTTTCCCACAGACGTGCAATATGCAGCCAATAATTTTTGCGTGAAAGCGTGATTTTCTTTAAAGACAGTCGTAGGTCCTGCCGAGATTTGAACTCGGATCCTTGGATTCAAAGTCCAAAGTGCTAACCATTACACCACAGAACCACCTTCAGATTGGTTTCGAAACGCATTTTTTTCATCCAGGATTATAACGATGCATATAGGACAGTTCACCATGAATTTCTCCATTCCAACTAGCGTGCAAATTTTTTCTATCCCTGATTTTCGTCATTCTCTCCATCTATTTGCTAACTTCGATTTTTAACAAAAAGTACAATGATATTTTGAACATTACCATATCTTGCGTTGATGGTGTAATGGTTAGCATTGCTGCCTTCCAAGCAGTAGATCTGGGTTCGATTCCCGGTCAACGCATATCCGCTTTCGGGTCTTCATCATCCCCAATTTGAATGAAAATATTGCATGGTTTTACGGCGACAATAGAAATTAACTTTTGCCTTTGTTAACAAAACCGATTCTATTTTATTCCATTGTTTTGATATTTCCAAAAAAATCAGGAACAACATATTTCGGGTGAATTTACGGGACACAGAACACTAGCAAAAAACGTTTGAATTATCTTCACTGCCATAAATCTTCGACTAATGATCCTTAAAAGGGCCTCGTTTCCAACAGACGTGCAATATGCAGCCAATAATTTTCTGCGTGAAGCGTGATTTTCTTTAAAGACAGTCGTAGGTCCTGCCGAGATTTGAACCCGGATCCTTGGAGTCAAAGTCCAAAGTGCTAACCAATACACCACAAAACCAACTTGAAATTGGTTTGAAACGCATTTTTTTCATCAAGAATTATAACGATTCATATAGGACTGTTCACCATGACATTCTCCATTCACACTAGCCTGCAAATTTTTTCAATCCCCAATTTTCGTCATTCACTCCATCTATTTGCTACCTTCGATTTTTAGGAAAAAGTACAATGATATTTTGAACATTACCATATCTTGCGTTGATGATGTAATGGTTAGCATTGCTGCCTTCCAAGCAGTAGATCTGGGTTCGATTCCCGGTCAACGCATATCCGCCTTCGGGTCTTCATCATCCTCTATTTAAATGAAAATATGGCATGGTTTTACGGCGACAATAGAAATTAACTTTTGCCTTTTTTAACAAAACCGATTCTATTTTATTCCATTGTTTTGATATTTCCAAAAAAGATCAGGAACAACATATTTCGAGTGAATTTAGGAGACACAGAGCACTAGCAAAAAACGTTTGAATTACCTTTACTGCCATAAATCTTCAAGTAATCATCTTAAAAAAATCCTCGTTTCCACAAGATGTGAAATGCTTGCGATTTTTTTTTGTGAAAGCGTGATTTGCTTTAATGCGGTCGTAGGTCCTCCCGAGATTTGAACTCGGATCCTTGGATTCAGAGTCCAAAGTGCTAACCATTACAACACAGAACCAACTTGAGATTGGTTTCGATACGCATTTTTTTAGGATTATAACGATGCTTATAAGACTGTTCACCGTGAATTTCTCCATTCAAACTAGCGTACAAATTTTTAAATCAGAAACGACATATTTCGGGTGAATTTACGGGTTACATAAAACTAGCAAAAACGTTTGAATTATCTTCACTGCCATAAATCTAAAAGTAATCTTCTTAAAAAGCTGCTCGTTTCCACGAGACGTGTAATGCTTGCAATGTTTTTGCGTGAAAGCGTGATTTGCGTTAAAGATGGTCGTAGGGCCTGCCGAGATTTGAGTTCGGGTCCTTGGATTCACAGTCCAAAGTGCTAACCATTACACCACAGAACCAACTTGAGATTGATCTCGAAACCCATTTTTTTCCATCAAAGATTATAACGATGCATATAAGACTGTTCACCATGAATTTCTACTTTCCAACTAGCGTGCAAATTTTCTCTATCCCCGATTTTCTTCATCCTCTCAATCTATTTCCTACCTTCGATTTTTAACAAAAAGTACAATGATGTTTTGAACAATTACCATAACTTGCATTGATGGTGTAATGGTTCGCATTGCTGCCTTCTGAGCAGTAGATCTGCGTTCGATTCCCGGTCAACGCATATCCACTTTCGAGCCTTCATCATCCTCTGTTTGAATGAAAATATTGCATGTTTTTACGCCGACAATAGAAATTAACTTTTGCCTGTGTTAACGAAACAGTTGCTGTTTCATTCTATTGGTTTTACACATCCAAAAAAATCAGAAACAACATATTTTGAGTGAATTTACGGGACTCAGAACACTACAAAAAAACGTAGGAGTTATCTTGACTGCCCTAAATCTTCGACTAATCATCTTAAAAAGCTCCTCGATTCAACGAGACGTGCAATGCCTGCAATTTTTTCCGTGAAGAGTGATTAGAGTTACAGTTGGTCCAGCCGGGGCTTGAACTCGGATTCTTGGATTCAGAGTCCTAAGTGCTAACCATTACACCACAGAACCAACTTGAGATTAGTTTTGAAGCGCATTTTTCTTTTAGGATTATAACGATCTTTATAAGACTGTTCACCGTGAATTTCTCCATACAAACTAGGATACAAATTTTTAAATCAGGAACAACATATTTCGAGTGAATTTATAAGACACAGAACAATAGCAAAAAACGTTTGAATTATCTTCACTACCTTAAATCTTCAAGTAATCATCTTAAAAAGTTTCTCATTTCCACGAGACGTGAAATGCCTACGATTTTTTTGCGTGAAAGCGTGATTTGCCTTAATGCGGTCGTAGGTCTTGCCGAGGTTTGAACTCGGATCCTTGGATTCAAAGTCGAAAGTGCTAACCATTATACCACAGAACCAACTTGAGATTAGTTTCGAAACGCATTTTTCTTTCAGGATTATAACGATGCATATAAGACTGTTCACCATGAATTTCTCCATTCCAACTAGCGTGCAAATCCCCGATTATGTTCATTCTCTCCATCTTTTTGCTACGTTCGATTTTTAACAAAAAGTACAATGATGTGTCGAACATTACCATATCTTGTGTTGATGGTGTAATGGTTAGCATTGCTGCCTTCCAAGCAGTAGATCTGGGTTCCATTCTCGGTCAACGCGTATCCGCTTTCGGGTCTTCATCATCCTCAATTTGAATGAAAATATTGCATGGTTTTACGGCGACAATAGAAATTTTTTATGCCATTAGTTTGATATTTCCAAATAAATCAGGAACAACATATTTCGGGTGAATTTACGGGACACAGAACACCAGCAAAAAACGTTTGAATTATCTTCAGTGCCGTAAATCTTCGACTAATGTTCCTAAAAAGGACCTCGTTTCTAGGAGACGTTTGTTAACAAAACCAATTCTATTTTATTCCATTTGTTTGATATTTCCAAAAAAAATCAGGAACAATATATTTCGAGTCAATTTACGAGACACAGAACACTAGCAAAAAACGTTTGAATTATCTTCACTGCCATAAATCTTCGACTAATTATCCTAAAAAGGGCCTTGTTTCCAAGAGACGTGCAATGGAGGCAATAATTTTTTGCTTGAAAGCGTGATTTGCGGTAAAGACGGTCGTAGGCCCTGCCGAGATTTGAACTCGGATCCTTGGAGTCGAACTCCATAGTGCTAATCATTACACCACAGAACTAACTTCAGATTAGTTTCGAAACGCATTTTTTTTCATCCAGGATTATAACGATAACAAAAAAATGTTTAATTATCTTCACTGCAATAAATCTTCAACTACTCATCTTAAAAAGTTCCTCGTTTCCACGAGACGTGAAATGCTTGCAATTTTTTCTTGAATTGTGATTAGCTTTAATGCGATCGTACCTCCTGCCGAGAATTGAACCCGGATCCTTGCAATTGGATTCAGAGTCCAAAGTGCTAACCATTACACACAGAACCGACTTACAGTGGTTTCGAAACGCTTTTTCATCCAGGAATATAACGATGCTTATAAGACTGTTCACCGCGAATTTCTCCATTCAAACTAGCGTACAATTTTTTTTTATCAACCATTTTCTTCGATCTCTCCATCCAATTTCTACCATTAATTTTACATCCCGTGCAAAGTTTCTTGCTCAAATTTTTTCGCATTTGCATTTGAAAAATAACGCATTCTCATTAATTGAGAAACTCGCGTGACAGCTGTCCAACCTCCTCTTGAATCCGGCCATCTCGGAAAAATATCCTGTGAATCCGGTAAATTCAAACTGACCTGTAGTAATGCAAGAAATGGACTGATTGGTTTCCCTTATGCAAATCAGTCCGTCACCCCACAAGTAGTCAGTCGAGATAAATCCAAATGGCTTATGGACCTGTGAAATGAGCATGCTGCCTGTGCCAGTTTCGGCGTTTTACCGCTGCTCTTAATAAACGAATATGTTTTAATCTGAACCCGCTACATGACACTAAACTGGATTATGATGTTGTGAAACAAAACTGGACTATGACGTTGTTTAGTCTTCCATAATTATTTAGTAATAATTTTTTATGTTATTTGACACTTCACTCAATGCAGGTAAACTCTGGAGGTTTAAAGGGTCTTAGAATTACTAATTTTCCCCTGTAATAATTTTTTAGGTATATATTGCAAAAATTAATGACTATAATGGTCGAACTGGTGTCACGCAGGATACATCATTAATGTTAGCGTGCGATCGCAGCCTTTGCTGGTACGCGAAAAACATTGTGACAAAATAATGAATTTTGAGCGGAATTATTAAAGCGAAGACATTTCCTAGAGCTTTATAGCTGCTTCATCTTCAACAGTCACGTGACAAGGGGTGGTCGTTGTTCGTAATTCTTCCTCCTTCACTTGTTGTACATTGATGTAAGATTTCTAAAAATAATTTTGAAGTTATTGTAGAAAATTCATTATAACAGTGATAATAATCATAGTTATATAATTTTTGTTTGTTTAAAAATTCTTCATCTCGATTTGCAAACTGTGCATAGGAACTATATTTTTCGAACAATAATACATTATATCGTTTCTATACAACAGTTCTGGTAATGAGAAAAAGACATGATGATTGTGAGGAATATCTACATCGATCTTATTTCTAAATGCTTCTCAGTACAAAAAGATATTATGATATTACTAGTTTTTATGCGTGGAAGTATAGTAATAAACGAACAGGGCTTAGATCAATTTCTGCCGACTTTAAGACATTCTGCGTGGTTCTTTCTCTTTGCTACAATCTCTGTGCTGCAAACATCTTTATTATACAGCAAGTTTGAAAGTTAATCTTTTGCAGAATCTGATTGTTTAAAACGATGTCACGTGAAAGACAAGAAATTGGATTGTTAACGGCAAAATATTGTTTGTCTGATTTCAACCTTTTTATCGAGGGTTACGGGAGTTAGGTGGTCGTTTTTTGTTAATGAATATATATATATTCAAATTTAACTGACAAAGAATAAAAGAAATACAACCTTATACTTAAAGGCTTTGCTCTACACTATATAGCTAAATAAAAAACAATATGGCGTCCTTAAATATTGAGTTCAGCAGGAGGCCTCGTAAGTAAGGTTATTAAAAAGGCAAAAAAGATCCTTATAAATTAGCCCTACTAAATAGCAAGTTTTCATTTGTTTCTCAATTTGTTGGTTAAAACTACGTCACGTGGAGTCGTAAAAGGCGGGAAATTCTAATGTTTAACGCAAAATCTTGTTTCTCAGGTTTAAACCAGTTTGATAGGGGGTCAATTCTTTTAACCACCTGGGTTAATAAAACCAGAAGTCATAAAGTACGCGACATATGACCTTTCAACTTCAGCCGATTTCTTTCTATAATGTCTGCTTTCCAGTTACGCGTTTTTCATACGCACGTACATGCACCGCGTAAAAGTCTAAATCCTTTTTCAGGATATCTTTTAAAAAACTAAGTAAATAAATCGAAGGAACTTAGTTTCCTGCTTATTTTAGTATGCATTAGTTGACCTAGATGTTAAATAATGAAAATTTAAAAGCATTTAAAATTTTCCGTACGTGTACGTGCGTATAAAAAACGCGTAAGTGGAAAGCAGCCTTAACGAAGAGTTACGTTGCCTACGTTTTTGTCGCGTATTTTTACCCCATGTTTCCTTGGAAACTTGCTATATTCACCACGGGAAACATTAGTCCACAAAGCATGATTTCGGGTCCACAAAGCAGGATTTTTTCCGAGGAAATCAGTCAATAAATCTTAATTATACCAGTCTTTCAATTTTGAAAAATATAAAAATGTTTTATGCCATATTGCAAGCCAAGTTGCCATAGTGAAAAAAAAACAACTGTAGAATTCGGTCCACAAATCGGTCGGGAGTTCCCAATATTGGAAAATAGACGTTTTTTTTAAACGCGTTAAACAAACTACTGTAGATTTTAACTCTAGAACGACGGAATTGGTTTATTTATTTCTATATGTTTTTGCCTTGGAGCTGAACGGCCTTAACCTAGAATAACACTTTTCCAGCATTAAAAAGTTTTGCAGGCAAAGAATATAAAACTTCTACGATATACTGATCTAAAATAAACAGTCGCTTTTTACTTAGACTGAACGGAACACAACACTTTTATAGGCTTGCGTCCGAGCCAATTGTCTTTAAAGTCAAGCATTAAAATTTTATTATGTTAGACTTATTACTTTTTTAATTATCGCACCCGAAAATAAGGGGAATGAGAATTTTAGTTTGCTAAGAAAAGCGACGAAAATTTTTTTGCATATAATTATTCATAAATTATAGAAAACAATACAATAGAACAACGAAATAATAGAATAAACAAATTGCCCCTTTTGTTTGCTCCGGATAAAACACTAACTAATAAAACTTTTCGTTTAATCCTTGCGTTCTTTTTATATTTTTTTTGAGAAAAAATATCCATGCAGGATTGATAAGGGAGACATTTAAGTTTTCATCCCTTGAAATTCTTAAAAAGGAATGAATCGCGTTTTTTTAAGACCACCTTAATAAAAGCGGAAGTCGTACATGATGTTAGGTCAAATCACGCCACATATGGTCTTTGAACCACAACCATTTTTGTTTTCATTTTTTCACAAAACGTTTGTTTGTTAGTTTGCATATGTATACTTTATTATAATTTATTACACTAATTCTTGCGGCATCATGAACTTAATACCTTTCTAACCGCAAAATACGACATTAATTTGTGATTTCACTGATTTAAACCTTAAGGCCTACCTGATCATGCATTAACATATCATGGAGATCTTTTCTTAGTTGGAAAAAACTTGGTCGCTTCTTTTCATCAACATCCCAACAATTCATCATTATCTTATATCTACCGATGGAAAAGAGATTTAATAACACTTGAAAGATTCTTCCTGGCAGAGCAGGCACAGATTTTCGGCGGTTTAGAGACAATGATATCCTTTTTAGCAAGATATTGGCGATCAACATAGTTATGAGCAACATATGAGCTAACTGATTGGCTCTCTGCTAGACAGATATTAGCTCATATCTTTCCAGTAGACACACGTAGACAAAAAGGCGGCAAGATTTGGCGCCTTTAAAAAATAGTGAAGTTCAAAATGTAAATAGACCGTTTGCTCACATATACGAACTTGACTTCCACTTTAAGTTTGCTTTACTTACATTTCGTTGGAACAGTTTGGCGGTTTTTGTAATCGACCTCCTGAACTAATGTAGCTGACAATCACAAACGGTGATAAATGTTTGTATGGTATTTCTCCTGAAAATTCAATCACTTCATTTATTTAAACATGACGTTTTATACAGTGGAATCTACCACAAGAAGGGTGAAAAGTGGATGAAGCAAAGTTCACTTGAATCATGCAGGACTGGAAATGGGGATGAATTACAATCTAATCACTTAGGAAATTTCAAGTTCGTAGAGACATTGCAAAGTTCGTGCATGAACGCCTAGTAAGAATTCCAACTAATGTTCTACTAATTTAAAAATTTCATTACTTACCTAGAGTTACGATTTCATAAAGGAGGACACCAAAACTCCACCTGATTAATTTTAAATGCAAATAAAATATTTCAATAGTATTCTTATTGCACTTATATGATACTGCATGATTAATTTGTGATTGAGAATACATGCCATTTGTGTATAAAATAAACAGTAGGCTATAAACATACACGTCACTAGCAGTCGTAAATCGACCGTAAAGTAGACTTTCCAATGCCATCCATTTTACTGGAAGTAGGTCCTAATAGAATACACGAGAAATTAAGGTTATATACGAACTGTAAGACCTGATTGCCTACGGTAAAAAGTTTAAAAAACCCGCGGCCAGTGCCAGAAATAAAACGGAGGGAAAATACAAATAAACATGAATGGTTAGTGATTATGCAGGAAGAATAAGTCGCAGTTTTCATTTTTCAAGTTAATAATTTATATATTTTTCAACCTCACGTTCGAACTAAATAAACAGTCTTTTTGAAACGCTGACTATGATCTTATTTTTCAAGCAATTCATTTACAACCACGATCATTTTTTTGCCTAGTTTTATAGTATTGATTAAAAATAAAGCCTTGCGAAGCATTTGAATACACGTTGGGTGTAATTACTTGATTCAAACATTTACTTTAGCTCACAATAAAATAATTTAGGTAAAATACCTGGTTCGTTCGCATATATTCTTCAGTATTTGCAATATCCCTTGTCAACCCAAAGTCCGTAATTTTTGCGACATTATCGTCACGGCTGATAAGAATATTTCGTGCAGCCAAGTCACGATGAACCAGCTGAAAATATGAAAGGTTTAATAAGGCACTGGAACCGTCCTTCATCTTTTTTGTTTCAAATTTATTATACTAAGGGACTATGTTACACATATTCTGTTCCTATACTATTGCTATATCCATAGTATGGAAATGGCAATTACAGTATGGATATTATAAACTTCCATACTATTTTCAACCACCATCCATGTATTATCTCCGTATATAATATGGATTTTGAAAAATTATTCCTTTTAGCTGATATAAACTATTTACAGCAAACTATTTACAACATATACCTTCAGATCAGAAAGATGCACCATTCCACTTGCCACATCCACACCAATTTTCAGCAGTTGACGACCGTCTAAAGTCGAAGTTGTTTTGACATACTTCGAGTCAGATGTTGAAGAGTTGTCAATAACTCTTCTTTTTTTCAAAAAACTTTGCAGATTACCACAAAAGCAATACTCTGTCACCACCATTAGTTTCTCTGAAATTAAGCAAGTATCTTAAGACATGCCGTAAATGATATCCTTATTGCAACTGGAAATATTTGCCTATAAATTTTTGGTACGTTCCAATATAAACTGGGAGCAGCCTGAAAGCGTCTTCAAACAACTTAGCAACAAATGGGGTATAACAGCTGCCGAAAATATTAGACAAAACACTTCTCAATGTTTCGACCTGAGGACCTTGATATGATACTAACTCATCCTTGACGTATGATACTTACTAACTCTCCTGACGAAGACCTTCAGGTCGAAACGTTGAGACGTCGAGAGAGTGTTTTGTCTATTTTATAAATTGTTGGTTCTTACCAAACGGTACGATTTTGTCCGGCTATGTAAATTTCGAGTTTTTATAATTATTCATGTCTTTAGAAATTTACTGTTTTCACAGTCAATCAACACCAAAGTATTAGCATAGCAAGACAAGTTGTTTAGGCAGGCTACGCTACTGTTTTTACATGGCAGTTGCAGCTGTATGTATTATAAACCTATAAATCATGCAATTGTTTTGAAGAAAGTTAAAAATTATCGATTCGAAGGCCCCCGAAATTTTCGCCATCGACTCTTTTTGATTGATAAATAGGGACTTACCTTCTAAAATACAAGCTCCAATAAATCGTATGACATTTGGGTGTGGTTCTTTGTTAGTTTTTTTCAACATCTCCAACTCATCTAAGAAATCTGACACGTCAGATTCCGTTGGATTATCTAAACAAAAGCGTTAAAAGCTTTAAGTGAGAATAACAATAAATAAATAAAATCAAGGTAAAAACAGTAAAATATCACTTATGTGATATGATATGAAATATATCTTAGACCAAAGAAATTGTGTTTTGATGGGGAAAATTGGAATTTACCGTAAATATTAAATAAAGGTATTCAACAGCTAATTTAATAATTATTACATTTTTAACTCAAAAGATGTTCACCTGTAAAATCATAGGTAGCCCAACACTCGTGGTCCGCGCGTGCACACGCTACTCAGTGATAAGCATAAATTAATTTATCCTAAAATTGGCAACTTTATCACCAATTATCAATAATATATCACATACATACATGTCAAGCTTCGATAAAAACTGAAAAACTACCACGAAATACTGCGAAATTAATAAATATAAATGAACTTGGATATATTTTCTAAATTTCGACATCGAAATTCCGATCAAAATGTATTGGGAAATACGGAAATTTGTTCATTTAAAATAAAGTTTTTGAAAATATATTAACGAAATTTTCTTGTCGATAGGCGGGCTCCAGTTTACCCTACATTACGTCACCTTCCGAGAAATCCCGAGTTAATCCTATTGGCTTCTGAAAAGTCGGAAATTTTTCAGTTTTTATCGAAGTTTGACATGTATGTATGTGATATATTATTGATAATTGGTGATAAAGTTGCCAACCTTAGGATAAATTAATATATGCTAATCACTGAGTAGCGTGTACGCGCGCGGACCACGAGTGTTGGGCTACCTATGGTAAGATTAATGAGAACGAAATAGTTTGAGGACTATCTTTTCTGTGATTTAATGAACCAATACGATATTGGGATCGCAAAGCCAAACGTGATTTCAGACTATTCTCTTATTCATGCAGTCAGTGCTAAGGAATCATCCGGTTTGCTTATACATTACGTCGCCTAAAATAAAAGTTAAACAAATGCTTTCGTCCACCAATATAGCTTGGTATCACGACTGTATTATAGCATATACGTATCCTTTCCAGGGCCGAAACTAGAACGATAATTGGGGGGGTGTTTATTCATATATTCAGTTCTGCCCTGCAGATTTCTTTTGTAAGTGCAAAAGCTCACAATGGAAATCCGTTGGGCAGAACTAAATATATGAATAAACACCCCCTTAATTATCGTTCTAGTTACGGCCCTGATCCTTTCCGAGCTTCCTTAAGACCTTAAATTAAGCCGGTTTAGCATTAGGCGTACAAATCAAGATTTTATACCGTAAATCAGTATGGAATAAAAATAAAACATTGTATGAATTATTTACTTTTTAACATTTTCACAGCAACCTGTACCGGTTCTTCACCTAGGAAAGCTGTATATAACCCTTTTTTCACAATCCCAAACTTTCCAATTCCAAGTATATCATCCAGAACCTTTAAGCGGTTGGGGGGAATTTCCCAGTTATTCAACAGTCTAACGTAAGTTAGTTCTTCTGACTGTAACTCTAAAAGAAAAATGTATTTCTGATCAGTGATCGTGAGTTGATTTTCTCTCTTCCTTTTCCCTTGGATGTTTTTTCCTTTAATCTTTATGTTAAAATAAGGAGTAAACATGTGGGACTTGGTTTTCAAGACGAAAGATGTACATATATTTTGACGATTATTTAAGTATACTATATATAGAGAGAGAGCTTTAGAGGGTCTTAATTTCGAGTGGAATTATACACACTTCAAATTCAAGCCAGGAACAATTGATGGAAAAATGAGTCAACTATAGGTCCTCCGACAGGAATCAAACCTATTTTTTCTCTCTCAAGGGGCTTTTCGTGCAGCTTAATCACAAAAATTTATATTGTTTAACTTTAAAATGTTTTGGAATACTATATAATGTTATATATTAAAATGTCATCTAGTGTAGTTTGGGAGAACGAGAAATAATCAGTCGGAAAACAAGCCCGTAGGACACGTTTTTCCCAGTTAACTCAAATAAGACTGGAACGCTCACTCTTTCGGAAGTTTGAAGCCAAGATGGCGGAAACTGAAGCCTTTTTCGCAGGTATGTCCCAGGCCTCTACGCGGAAATTTTTTAGGTAAAATGGCGGCAATTATTTTTAATCTTTGGAATTTCCGCTTAGAGGCCTGGTTCACACCTACAAGAGAGGCTTCATTGTTCGCCATCTTGGCTTCACTCATTAATAAAGGAAAGTCAGAGAGTGAGCGTTCCAGTCTTATTTGAGTTCACTGGTTTTTCCTCGTTATTTCGAGTTCTCCCCAACTCCCACATGTCTTTCCACACGGGAAAAAATTATTATATTTCTTTAATAATATAACTCAATAAAAAGATTACTCACGAATTCCTCGCGAATTCCTTGCGAATTCCTTACGAAAAACTATCCGCGCACGAGAGTAACTACCGCAGGTAGTTTAAGGGCTAGTATCTTCAAAATTATTGCACAAAATCAAAAAACGTTTTTATATATTAACTAACTTCAGTACATTCTTTTCAAATGCATAAAGATTCCACGAGTGATATAGGCACTTTAAATTTGACTATTGTACTGTACGCCTTATTTTAGAAACATGAAAAAACATTTTGCTTTTCCTAGCAATATAAATACTCACTGTCATTTTCCTTCGATTGCTCTGAATTGTTTACTGTACTCGACGGATAATGTCCTTTTTTATGTCTCATTTCGGCTTGCGAAGATTCAAAATCCTGCAAGAAATAAAATAATAGCTATAAAAGTTTTATTTTCAATTGTACATTGGAGAAAATAATTATGTAAACTATATATATGAGATTAATAGAGAAAAAGTGTACTTTTAAAAATTAATTTACACAAGAGGATTTATATAAATGGAAAGGTCGAGGAAGAAAGCTTTTCACAAAATGAATTATAAGATGACAACGTTCTTATGTCCTCCGGAATTTGGTTCAAGACATAAGCACCGTTGTAGCCAAAACTTTTTACAAGTAATCCGTCCTGGGCTTGGAAGACATAACATAGTTAATTGAGGACCCTTTCAAATAATAATCATGCATCGTATTAGAATGTTGAAATAGATCTCACAGACAAATATGACCTTATTTAAAGTGCCTATATCACTTGTGGGATCTTTACGGATTTGAATAGAGCTTGAAAAATTAGTTTGTAAGTTCTTTTTGATTTAGTTAAATAGTTTCTGAAATATTTACACCTAAACATAACGATTTGCCTAAATTTCCGTCGTGCTCGGGGGTCTGGGACTCAGGAACCGAGTTCTTGTCAAACATAATATAATCAATTGTAATTTTACTTCGATCTTCCAATAAAACATTTTGAGAAAAACTCGCCCAGTTGCTAAAGCCATACACAACGCACCGTTCCCGCATTTTTTCTTGAAAAGCGCAAACTATATCGCCAGTGAAACTCTTCATGTTTACATTATAAAAGACGGCGTGTTTGCAAATCATTCCTCAGTCCCACTCCCCGCAACCGACGTATTTTCAAAACTATTTAACTATATCAAAAAAGGTTGTAGAACTTATAAACAAATTTTTCAAGCCCTATTCAAATCCGGAAAGATCCCACAAGCAGTGGCGTAGCCAGCCCGACAATTTAGTCATGCTATGCTAATATTTTGGCGATCATTGATTGTGAAAACAATGAATTTCTAAAGAAATGAATAATGATAATAACATAAAATTTGCATAGCATGACTAAATCGTCAGGCTGGCTACGCCACTGCCCACAAGTGATATAAGCACTTAAATATCTGACTAGTAGAAAGCTAATCAGCTTGCACATTAGCTCACACCCTGCGCTTGTGTATATAATAAACACTGTTATTGTAAATTCAAAACCGCACAAATCTGGGTCTTCGCATAGACCCACTACAAAACTGAGATATAATGCTCAAAAATATCGTTGTAATCTAGTGCCAATTTCTTTAACGAAAAGTAACTTAGTTATGCCACCTAGCACCTACTCAGTTCCATCTATACTCCTAACCAATGCATGTCATGTGACAAATAAAATTACAGAACTTTCTGGAATCGCTGCTGTCAATAACCCATCTCTGGTCATAATTACAGAATCCTGGCTGAACTCAAATATTTCGGATGCTGCTATAGAAATTAGTGAGAAGTTCAACGCATATCGACGAGACCGCCCTACCCCTGGTGGCGGTGTCTTAGCCTATGTGCACCATCAAATGCCTACTACCCGTCTTACAAATCTTGAAGTGGAAGATAAAGAAGTCTTATGGCTCCTGCTTAAACCGCCTAGAACTCCCAGGCCTTATAGTGCCATAATAGTTATTAGTGTATACTACCCACCAGGTCAGACGATGGAAGATGAAAGAGCAATGCTCGAGTATATCACAAATGGACTTGATGAAATTCTGAAAGACCATCCTTCAGCAGGTATAATCATCGCCGGAGATTTTAACAAAATGAAACTGAATCTAGTATGTAGGCGCTTTAACCTTTGCAAAGTTGTACGAGCTCCTACTAGGGGCAGAAATATTTTAGATCAAATCCTTACTAATATGTCAGAATTTTACAATGACATCCAACATCTCCCGCCGATTGGCCGCTCGGACCATCAGTGTCTCTTACTCACCCCAAAGCTGAAAGAAAAAGTGAAGGCGATTTCCCGAAAAGTACGCCTGACAAAATGTAGTAACTTAATCGATCTGAGTGTCCATCTGAACAGGCAAAGCTGGGAAATGGTTTATGATGCTGATGAGATTGACGATAAAGTTTCGAAATTCACAAGTATGATCACGCGTATTCTTGATAAAACGCTGCCCAAACGTACTGTACGTTTTCATCCTTCAGATAAACCTTGGATGACCCCGCGTATAAAGCAAGAAATAAAGGCCAGACAAAAAGCGTTTACGTCAGGGAACAGATCAAGATACCAATTATTATGTGACAAAGTTTCTTCACTTATATCTAGTGCTAAGAAAACGTATTATCAATCGAAAGCGGAAGATACACGTGTAACAAGCCCAGCAAAGTGGTATAAAATTATATATGAACTTGTGGCTGCTAATGATTGTAACTTCCAATCTTCAGCAGCCCCCACAGATGACCTAGCTGAACGCTTACAACAAAGTTTTACCAAGCCTTGGCAGAGCACCACTCCTAATGAAAAACCAAAACTAGAGGAAATTGAACATTTACTCAAAGATACCAAGCCGCTGTTACCTTCGATTGGACAAATTAAGGCAATTCTCAAACACCTAAACCCTAAGAAAGCAAGCGGTTCGGACGACATTCCTGCATGGCTACTGAAACGTTACAGTGAAGAGCTTGCCCCTATTATTCATAATATCATCTGCTCTAGCATTTCCCAGTCCAAATACCCGACTCTCTATAAGCACGCATTGGTCACCCCTGTGCCCAAAGTATACCCCCGAATGATATTGACAATGATTTCCGGCAAATCTCTGTATTACCGCAAATGGCAAAAATCTTGGAAACCATACAACTTAAACTGAATAAAAATGACCTTAACATCAAAGATAATCAACATGCATTTACAAAAGGAAGATCAACAGTATCTGCGTTAGCGAGTATTATCCAAAATTGGTACAATAAGACCGAAAATTCACGGGATGGAAGAATGGGAATTCATGCCTTATTTATTGATTTTCGTAAAGCTTTCGATATGGTTGACCATGGTTTGCTCCTAAGAAAATTAGCTGAAATGAATGTATCTAAATGCTTTTGGTTATGGACGAAGAGTTTCTTAGAAGGAAGAAGCCAGCGAGTAAAAATAGGTGCGAGTTTATCATCTATTAGGTCCTGTCCTTCTGGAGTCCCCCAGGGCTCTGTCATCTCACCAACAATGTTTAATGTCTATGTTAACGATCTTGAAGATTGCATTCCCAACCATTTGCAGATTAATACATACAAATATGCAGATGATTGCACTCAGGATGAGGCAATCTCATATTGCTCCACTGGCAACATGCAAACGGTGTTAGATGCAACGAATGACTGGGCACTTAGAAACAAGATGGAACTTAATATAAAAAAGACTAAAGATATGTGGATTTGCTTCAAAGAAGGAATTCCTGCACCACCTTCACTTATGATTGGTAATGATACAATTGAAAGAGTAAAAACGTTCAAGCTGCTGGGCCTTTGGTGTAACGATACCCTTAAATGGAACACACACGTTGAAGAAATTACTAAAAAGGCAAACAAACGTTTATTCCACCTCCGGGAATGCCGCCGAGCAAACCTACCGACGGAAGTAGGTTTAACTTGTTACTTCACGAAAATTAGGCCGGTTTTGGAATATGCAGCCCCAATTTGGAGTGGTTTACCACAATATTTAATAGATGAGGTGGAGAACATTCAAACTCGAAGTCTAAAAATACTTGCTCTGCCGTCTGATTCATTTCAGTCTCTTGAACAGCGTCGTGACATGCTCGCCATACGTGAATACAAGAAAATTATGGATAATGAAACGCACCCTTGCAGGAAATACATACCAGATATTGTGACGACAACATATAATCTAAGAACTCCAAGAACTCTACCGCAGTTCTTCTCTCATACCAATAGGCATAAACTTTCGTTTATTCCAAGGACTAATGCACTATTATAGACATAATTTTAAAATCGTAAATTTTTATTTGTATATATACATACATTTTAATCATATTTAGTAATTGTAAATCCATTGTAATTTTATACCTAAGATGGATAAATAAATTATTATTATTATTATTATTAAATAACAAGATATAGCGCGCTTTTTTCCACCAAAAATGGAATTTTTAAATGACGTGTGCAATTACACGCGCGGGCCAAAACAAGCATCACGTGAAACAAACACGCGTCGCGCATGCTGTTCTAATTGTTCTGATTCTGATAGCAGCATTAATGTTTACTGGTTTTGGCAGTGCGTTCGAAAATAGAACTAGACAAATATCGCCAGGCTATTAATGTTTATACGCGCTCTTGCGCTCAACTAAATATACTGTATCGAGCCACCTTAAACGGCGAATGTGTGTTATAGCCTTTAAAAGTTGGTTTATGCCTGTAACTGCATCCTAATACCGCGAAGCAAATACGAAATCAACATAATAAACACGTACTACCTTAAAAACACTTACAGTACCCTCGCAAGCTAGCGTTTCGGCCCCACAAAAAATTTACCCAAATGATAAAACCATATTCTATTATTATAGTGACAAACGCTGCAATAGCGAGACAAAATGCCAGTCCGACTACAATACTGGCATTATTGGTCATAGTTTAATGGATTGAGTGTAATATAATTTACCTTGATGGATTTTCTTCGTCGTCTTCTCCGTATTATCTTCAACAGGAAAAAACAGGTAATTACAGCAAGGATGAGGAATAAAGTCGCGCTTATCACTCCAGCGGCAATAGCGGCCTTGTCGGGCTTTGATTCCCTATTTTTATTCAAGTTAGGCTCAACAGTTGGATTCTTGAGTGTCGTCATATTGTCGGTAAAATACACGGTCTTATTCGTAGCTTGTATCTTCGTTTTACGCTTTATCGTTAGGTTTTTTACATAGGCGGCTTCCCCCACAACATCGTTATCAACAGCCTGGACTTTTATGGTGTATTGCCCAAATTCATCTGAACAATAAAAATTGTGCAGAAAATGCGAATATAAAAGGACATGTCGAAGTTTCCCTACATGCTATTTCTACCTTTTTTTAATTTAATCAAATTTTACTGCATATAAAGATAATTATGAACATAAATAAAGTAAATAAAGTAAATAAAGTAATATATATATAAGGAAAAACGGAAAGGAACAATAAGAACCATTCTAAAGCCGTTATGCCAAAAAGCAAAATACGATTTAAAGGATCAAACAAGTTATACATCCCAAGAAAAACGAGTTTGGGATGATAAGGAAATTTTTTATTGCTCCTTACGATGACAATGAGGAGTTTCGTTTTAAACTAATCGCCAATATTGTTTAAATTTTTCAGTCAAAGCCAATCAGAACGCCTAAATTGTTAATACATCATGTAAAATAATATATATTGTACTTTTTATCAAAATTTATGCATTCTGATTGGGTTGCTGAAAATTTGAACGAAGTTTCTGATTGGTCTAATACAAAATTCCCTTATTCCTTGCAATAATGTATAAACTTCGCAACGCTACCACTGAAAGTTCAGATATTTTCTGGTCGATTTCTCCATAGATATACTACTTTTCAATTAAAAAATATCGCATTAAAATGTGCGGTTCTACATGTACGTTTAGGAATTTTCAATTTCCCTTGAGCAGTTAATCTTAGTCTTGTGTCTGAGCCTCTGAGGAAGACTCAACGAAAGAATGAACAGAACAGCTATATAAACCAGTTTTCATTTTATAGAAGGTGGTTAAATCCTTTATCTCTCTTCGATGTAACAATGGTCGTTCTTTATATTCTAATTCTGGTATTAACATACGTGTTACACGTCGTTGAACGTTTTCAATCAACTTAAACATTTAATGTTAATCAATTAAATTTAAGATTTAATTGAAGTTTGTTTAAAAGAAAGAAAGCAAACAAACAAAATGTTTTATAGCGCGTGTAAGAAGATATGCAAAGTAGTCACTTACTTCCAAAATTATGAATAAAAGGACTGGCTGTAACATTTTTCTTGTGAAAATTACCATTTCTATTTTCTCTTCTCCAGAACACTAAGTAGTGATCCACACTACTATATGAGACTTCAGGTGGCAGCCATTTAACGATTATTTTGCCCCCATTAACAGTCAGCGTAACATTTCTAGGTTTACTTGGTCCTAAATAATTGAATTGAAATTTTTGACAATTGAAACTGAAATTTTCTACACTCATTTATATCAGCGACAAGCAAGATACAACATGGATGAAGCTTTATGTATGTTTTATATATTGAAATTATAAATAATATTTTGAAAATATTTTCTTCTCGACAAAAGCGGTGACACACGATGGTCGATGATTAAATTGCAAAAGACCGAAATCGTTCCCACAGATGGCGATACTAATATCAACATCTTTATAATGTAATTATTTGTCAAGAATTATTCTTCTTCAGCTTCAAAATCCTTTTGAAATAAATATGATCTCCTGCCAAACTGCAAATCCACACGCCGTAATATTATTATCAAATTCACATGAGAGATTGGATAAAACGAATTAATAGAGGATTTACAGGCACCGGTTAGCGAGAACATTGATGCCAAGGAATATCTATAGATAATATAATTAATATTTACTAATACTAACCTGTGCAGGTAGCACCAACTTTGGTGTATCCTTTATTACATACGCATGAGAAACGCCCAACACTTTTAACACAGTGAGAATTTGCGCCACAGTTGTGGATATTCAAGGCACATTCATCGTAATCTACAAAGAGAAAAAAGGATTTTTAAAAAAGAAACACTTATTCAATTTTGGCAGCGCCAAAGTCCCTCAGCAACGTTGTTTTCAAAATTAAAGAATTGAATTTATCTTTGGCGTAGTTATCCTTAAGAAAAAAATCCCAGTAAAATATTTCGAGTACAATTTGCGTGAGTTAGCTTTGAGTCATTCCAACCTGGTTGGTGGCTTCAACTCCGCCCTAACGCCCCGGAAAGCCCCTCGACAACAGCATGGTGAAAATTTTTATTGGTGTCAGGGGACATCGATGTGATCTTGGCCGGAACTGAATTGCGAGGTGGAATATCGAAATTGGCGTAAATAATTTGCATAATTGTTATTCAAATATATTTTATTTGCTGTACTATATATTATAATTATTGTGCATTCTTGAATTCCGCAAAATTTGAGAAAATCATTAAATTTGCCCAGTTTTTTACATGTAAATCAAGCCATGTTGAAATTTTTTGTAAAAATTGTTATGTATGGTTTATGTCAACTCTACATTTTTTGTTTCATTCTGAAAATGTTTTGTATGGTATTCAACGTAGTAATGGGTTTATATAAAACCTTGGCTTGGAAAAGCAGGACGAATACTGATAAAAAAATTAAAAAACTATCTCGAAATATTTGTAATTACATCTGTATTGCAACTAGCAATCAAGGCAAAGTATAGCCAAGTAAGCCAACCTACTAATAGTTCTATTTTAGCATTTTAGTATTTTGTATTCTACAGTATACTCATGATCACGAGGCTATAGTTTAACACCATCTGCTAATTTCCGCGGAAGTAGAAAGTTAATTTTGTCTGAATTTTCTGGCGCTGTATCTAAATATCTCTATATAACGTTGAAATAATATAGACCTATACAGGGCATCAAAAAAGGCAACACTTAATATTAAAAAATATTCGCATTTTGAGCTACACGATTAGAAGTACACAATTAGTGGTACTATTGTTCTTAATAACAGTATGGATATTAAGTGGTTGTCTTTTTTTTATACACTCTGTACATATATGACAATGTAGAGATTTATGTCACAACACTCACCCGCCTCCAACACGATTCTATTCCAATCACGACAGTTGGACAAGCCAGGGAT